CACACACACACACACACACACGCGGAACGCACGTGCACACACACCCTCGCACATACGCTCAATTAAATTCAGACTCAGCAGCAAGCATGTCAACAGAAATAAAAACTGATCCGTCAAGATGCAAAAAAAACCCGAGAATACTGAAGTTTTAAAGCAAAACAAAAACAAAATAACTTGTTACCAGGAATGCACTTTGCCGCTGACAACAACATACAATGCTTCAAAAACAACCCCAAAACCCCCCCAAAACAACAACAAAACGGACTGACAAAGTGCAGTGACAAGGTTATGTACCGTACTAAGGTATTTGTTCATTACATGGCAGCCAAAGGAACTTATCGTTTCAGTTCGAGTAAAGAGAACCACAGCGATATGATAACATTTCGCCATTCTGTGCACGAGACTAGTTTGTTAGACAAACATAAACATCAGGGAAATTGAACTTGAAAAGAAGTAGCTAGGATCTTATAGAAGCACCCTCCAACTACCCTATGAAACGTACGGACAGAGCTGCTTTGAAAAAGTAAATAACAACCAAATCTCCCCCCCCTCCCTCCCTTTTTATTTGCACCTGCTTCCGCCCTAAAAAAACTAAAAAAGATAACAGAACAAAACAAAGCAAAACACCAGACCCAATTAGGCAGGGGGGGGGGGGTGAAAACTCAAGCAGTTTCGGTCATTTCGCATGTGAGCTAGCATTGTGGGATTTCTGGGGTCTATTCTTTTTGGCTTGACCGGAAACTCAAGGACAAAAACACGCGTAAAAATTACTCCACACCAGTTAATCATATTTAGGCGGCGGGCAGGCTGCTTTGACTCTACCTGGCAGGGTTAACCCGGCCTATGTGGGATGCAACAGTACCCCCAACAGTACCCCCAACCGTACCCCCAACAGAGAGAAAACGCTTGACAAAAATGAGCAATCTCCCCAAAGAGAAATCATCGAACTCACATCTTTTGTAAACGTGGCCCACCCTACTGACACTATAAGATAAGTTAAATGGGCCGACATATGAACTGAGCAGAACGGCTTATATATAATGCATGTGTGTGACGGATACGGGACTTCAAGTGTGATACGATCAAGAAAAAGACATACTTTGTGAGATAAGCGAGGAGCCTAAGCAAGATATCTCTACACCACAGCCGCGGCAGCACGTACAAGATAGCTAAACTGAAGACGGAATAAAAGTGAGGAAGGGATGCCACCCCACACCCAAGCTTCCGTGGTTACGTTTGGGAGGCGGTTCATCGGTGGGGATTTCGCTCCCTCTGGAAATGGTACGGTGTGGGTTTAACGGCCCTATCTACACTATTAGGTTTTTTTAAGAAGCGGGGCCTCCTAGTTTAACGTGCCTTTCCCAAGGACACAACGTTGGACCTTGCTGAGGCTCGAACCCCCGAACCCGCAATCTCACAATTACGAGTCCGGTAGCCTAACATCGCTCCTTCTGTCCATGTGTTAGTGGATTGTTTATACCCCCCCCCCCCCCCCCCCCCAAAAAAAAAATCCCCCAATAAAAAGAGAGAAAAAAACCCAGCAACAGTAACAAGCAAACCAGAATAACAAACAAAAAGCAAAAAACGCAAAACGAAAACAAACAATAATAAAAACAAAACAAATTGAAATGCATTAGAAATGCTCAAACAAACAAGAGTTTACATTATGTTCTCTCTATTTAATGAAGGATTGTATGTTGGTTAAATCGGAAGGAAGTTAGAAGGAGAGGAAAGGGGTTGGAACGAGTGTGATTACTACTGTTTAGTTGTTATATTGTGTGTGTGTG